TCGTTTTTGACTTTTTTAAAATGATTTTCACTGCATTTTCTGAAAACTTTTTACCAGAAAATAAACTTGCGGCTGACTTTTCACAGACCTTCACATTAACTGCCTTTTCCTGACCACTTGCAAACTTTTCCTGATTTTCCTCTGGCCAAGAAAAATCACATTTCTTTTATAATCATATGTATAACTATTTATATTATAGATTTTCCCTGATTATGTCTGTCCATGATAACACTGTCATTGACACATTTTGGCTGTGCTGTGATTGTCCCAGATGCCTCAAATAATGTTCAGATGATCGGGACAATCATATGAAAACCCTACCCAGACGATCGCAAATGACCTGGATGACTGAGATGACCTCTATCGATCGCGTGAATAGAGTTGAGTTCTATGCGGACGATTGGGAGCATCGTGTAAATTTTGAAGTGATCTGGAAATGCTCTCAGATGACTGAGACTATCCGGACGATCAAAGGCTATCCCAGAAATCATCACTATCATTCCATTAATTGAGAATATATTCGGCCTGGATGCCGCTGAAGTCAAAAATAATTAAAAATGTTCACATCACGTATGGGTGCTATTTGAATTAAAGAGAAAGTCTGTTTCATCAAGTTCTATACGTGATACAATATCTTTGTGGAACTGACTTCTAGTTTGTTGACACCACAAAATAGAGAGAAAAAGAAGATAGCATAGCTCGAGATTTTCTCACCATTTAAAATCCATCATTACATGTATGTTTGGCTTGTTTGTGAAACCCACACAAAAATTCTATTGTCTGACTCAGAGACATCGCTGATGACACCCCGTGTCTCTTGTCGCTGAGGCACCCGTACGATCTCATGGAAACCACCTATCGTCCCAGTTGTCTGGATCATCTCAAAACTTTTTTAAACAACTGGGGTGATCGGGATGATCAATTGGAAACAAGGCTTTATATGCCCATCTCCCCATAATAAACACTTAGAGATCTCCATCTTTAAGGTGATTGCTGCAGAGTCTCACCAACAGCTGTATACTAACATTAAAAGCCGGAGTCAAGCTTAATATTTTAATTAGAGAGCATCATAAAATATTTTTCCTGGAGAAGATTTCAAAGGTGTATTTTGATGTGGCATGCGATTGAGTTACAATGTAGAGCATTTCAAACTTAAAAACTTGAATCTTTAACAAAAAGAGTTATAGAGAAGCTGGTAAATGATGAGGATGTTTTTGTAAACCAACTGAATCTGGATTGTATTATTTTCCATTCTGCACAAACAAAAATATTATTATACCACCAATTGTTAAAGAAACAAAAGAATGTTACTGTACTTACAGTAAACACCCACTCACTAATAAGAAACTGTGGTTTAAGAAGCTGCTGGAGAACATAAAGTCCTGAATAAAGCAGCTAAAATAGTTCTAAAATAGGCTGGGCAAAAAGAAAAGGAAACTCAACAAGGCGGCTCTCACAACAGTTAGCAAGCTAAGTCTGGGGCAGTTTCCTGGACAGAGACGGTTGGAGACCTGTGAGATGGCAAAAAAAAACCTTGCTCAGTCCACCAAGCAACGTTCAGCTAGTCTCCTTGGCAAAGAAGTAAAAAAACCTTACTGCAGAGAGAGGCCGGGATGATTATATTTTGTTTACATGAATGCTTAAAATATTTTTTTGGCTGCCTAATCTAAAAAAATGATATTGTTTGGGGGTCAAAGTGGCTTCTGTGTACCAGGTGATGAAAAAGCTAAAAGTGGCTCATATGGGGCTCTAGACGCTATGATGACTTATCCCACTCTATGCCATGTGCAATGGCTACAGAATGTGATAAGAAAAAAAAGGGGACCTGCAGCTTACTGAACTTCTGAATACAATCATGTACTTGATAGAGCAATAAACATCTTTTAGAAATTTCATGTAAAAATAAAGTTTTGATCAAAAGTTAACACTGAGCATGAAATTAGAGGAACAAACTTTTGGGACACCCTGCACATCTCCTTCATAAAAATTAAGAACCTACAGTTGTACTTAGCCTTAATTACTCTGTAACGTACCCCAAAATAAATGAACCTTTTTTGCCAGACCTCAAAAAAAAATGTAAGTTAGGTTCTTATTAGCGAGTGTTTACTGTACCTGTATCTCATTCATTCTACCTGTTTTGGTTTCTCAGTTAGAGCGATAACACAAGATTTACTACAAACATCAGTGAACTTAAGCCAGTGTATGTGGCTTAATGCAGTCATGTCCAGTGATTCCAGTCAACTGCAGCATTAAATTTAAACATCTGCCTTGATGACATTTATTCATGAAAGTAAAATAAGAACTGTTGACTTGTGTCTTCGAATTTTTTAGTTTTAAACAACAATTACCTTTCCTTGGAGAGTATCTTCGTCTATAATAGCCTGTAATAAAGCCACAGCAATGTGACCCTGCACGGTCACTGTTATTCCACGTACAGCATATTGTGCTTTTTCATCCAGCTGAATTCTGCGAACAAATTCGCCATTAACAGTGTATATAGCCAGCGTCAGGCGGAGTGTCTCTCGTTCACGACCAGCAAGGACAACATGGTCTGCACTTGCCGGGTGATATGCAATGCGATAATAGACATCTCTCTCATGTTTGATATTAAATTTGCCAAGCTGGTGTCCCTCCACATCAAATATGTACAAACTGTCATCGCCTCGGTCCACTATCATGACGCGACCATCACAAGTAGCAGTGATATCTTGTGCATCCTTGAACACTCCTCCACCAAAGCTACAAACGAACTCGCCACTCGACTCATGAATATCAACAACGTCATCACCTATCAACACGTCACCTGTCAACAGCAGAATTTTGCCGCGTTTTTTGCCGCTGGTCACTGTTAGTCTGCCCCAGACCCCTCTCCTCCTCACAGGAAACTTGTGCTGTAGGTCAGCAGTCTTGTTAAAAACCTGCACTTCATTCTCCCATTCCTCAGCCCCAGGCTTCTTCAGTCCGACCAGAAGATAAATCCTGTCGTCCTCGCCTGCAGTGGCGACATCCAAAATATCTAACTTTGTATCGGCGTCATCAGTTTGAGGATTAAACCTAAAATCCAACTTTCCGTTGCTATCAAACACCTTCACGGTTTTATCCCCATTGTCTGCTATCAGGAATTGTCCTCTATGGTTTGTAGCGATACCCCACGCATCCTTCAGTTTGTGCTCCTCTTCACCCTCCTGACCAAATGACCATAGTAAACTGCAGTGCTCCATCTTAACTTTGTGCAGTACCTTTGATATTCTTCCATCGCGCAGAGGATCAACTTTGTCTTCTCCAGTGTCGACAAATGGCCAGACCAAGGCGTCTCTTCCAACTGCTCGTGTTGCATTGTAGATGGCACGATTTATCTGGCATACCGTGGAAATTATCTTTCTTCGTTCATCTTTACCATACCGACCTCTGACATTAAGGACAGCTTTATCTAGCTCCACTTTAAAGTTATCCTGAACAGCTGGAAAGGAGTGGAGTTTCTGAAGACATTCTTCGCACTCAGGTAATGCATTGGTCAATGCAGTTTTTAAGGATGAAGGCGACATGTCGCCCGCAGTTCCCACCGTCTCTACCACTGACTCTAATACGGTTGCCATGACACGATATCGAATGGCTGTGATCCGATCGAAGATCTTCAGAGCTTCGTTGTTGGAGGCTTTTGTTGCTTCGTTACGAGCCGTTTCGAATCTCTTTTTGGCTTGAAAAAAGAAGTTTTTCATCGTTTCGTTGAAATCCGTTTTTTCTAACTTTCCCATTTCCGCGGCGACAGAAACTGTCTTCATTGCTTCTTTTAAGTCATGTTCGCTAAGATTCTCGTCTGTGATTTCCACATTGGCTTGGCTACTGGGTTTTACATCGAATGCTTCAAATAAATACCTGATCCCTGTTTGAAAGGAGTCTACAGCTGTCAGAAGATCCTTTCTTGATAATCCTTCCAACTTCGACTTGATATCTTCCACTTCACGAACGATTAAATCACGGATTTTTTGATCCGCCACGTCCCCTTCTTTCAGCCTCTCTGCTGTCACATCTCTTCCTTTATTCACGAGCCAACCGATGGTGGCATTAAATACAGATGTTACAATCGAGGACATGTCTGAACTCCAAACAACGCTCTGTAAAATAAAAAGATAAGTTTTTGTTGAACAGGAAAAAATCAGCACATTTCTGCCGGACAAAAACAAGCAGAAAACCCGTGTAAAGCAGTCAAGCGCGATCAAGTCAATTCAATTCAATTCAATTTTATTATTCACACTTTATAAAATATTTACATTATAAATAGTAAGGTAGGAATACACTAATAAAGGAGAAGAAGAAGGAAAAAAAAGAAAATTAATGGCTTGGGTAGAAGTGTACGGTGGTCAGCGGAGCTTAGCTTTCGAGCTAACCACCGCTATATTATGATTGGAAATACATAATAAATATGCGCCTGGTGCCATGGCAACTATGGACGATTATGCCAGCAGTCAGGTTATGTGAGACAGTCATATTACAATATTGTTACCTTTGAGAGTTAACTAGAATTCGCTTATATTCTTTTTTGAACTTATGGTAGCTAAGTGCTTTTATCTTAGTAGGAATCTCTTCCCAAGTTTTGGTTATGGCAAACTTAAATGTGTGTTTGCCGTAATTTGACCTTACACGTGGTACATGAAAGTTGAGATTTGAGGCATATCTGGTATTGTGTGAGTGAATATCAGACACCTTTACGAAGTAGTTTTGAAACACTTCAGGGATATTGGCTTCATTTTGTGAGATTTTGTGAGCTAGCAAGGAGATTTTGAGTTAAAAAATGCTATCTATGTTAAGTATATCTAGAAGTTTGAGGTAGGGTTCACTACTTTCTCTATAATTTATGGGTAAAAAATATGCAGCGTGTTTTGTTTGAACTTTAGTTAATCTACTTGGATGTGTTTCCCCAACTCATAATTCCATAATGAAGGTAGGGGTAGATAAGTGAGTAATATGTTAATTTTGTTTGAGGGTGTTTAAAGTTAAGAAATGGGGTAATCTGAAAAGGATTCCCACGTTTTTAGATATTTTGTTGTTTATGTGCTGAATGTGGGGAGCCCAATTTAGATTTTGGTCAATGTAGATACCTAGGTATTTGATGTAGTTCTTTTCTTCAACGTTGCATAAATTAAGCTTAAGTTTATTTGCTTTTGGGGGGGAGGAGATTGTCATGTGTTGGGTTTTCTTAAAGTTTACAGAAAGTTTATTAGCTGAGCAGTAGCTAAGAAGATGGTTGAATTCCTCATTTATAGTTTTTTCAAGGTCCTGTAGAGAATTGGAAGAGTAGAAGAGAGTGGTGTCATCAGCAAATGTTCTAATATTTGCCTTTTCTAAACAATTGGGCATGTCATTGATGTGTATCAAAAACGGAAGTGGGCCAAGGGCAGAACCTTGCTGTACACCACATTGGTTTCAACTTCAACATACTGTGTTCTGCTTTCAAGATAGCTTTTAAACCACTGCAGAGGGACACCACGGATCCCGTATCTGTATAATTTCTGTAGTAGGATCTGATGGTTGACAGTATCAAAGGCTTTAGATAGGTCAAGAAAAATACTGCATATAGCTTCATTGCTGTCAATTTTCATTTTAAGATTGTCAGTGAGTTCAAGAATTGCTTGCTCAGTAGAATAATTTTTCCTGAAGCCAAATTGGTGTTTAAAAAGAATGTTTTCCTTTTCTAGGAAATGACTTAGCTGGTTGTACACTAGTCTTTCAAGGATTTTAGCAAACGGAGAGAGGACAGCAATGGGACGGTAATTGCCAGGGTCTGTCACTGTACCAGTCTTAAAGACTGGGGTAACCTTTGAGATCTTGAAAATATCTGGGACAATACCTGATTCAATTGATTCATTAAATAAGTTTGTGAGGGGAGTTGAAAGCAGATTGTTGGCAATCTTGATTAGATAGTTAGGGATATCTATAGTGGCTTTGTGTCTATCAAGGCCAGATAGTGCTAACTCGACAACTTGCGCTGAATCCACAGGGGAAAGAAAAAAACTAGAACTATGAGTTGCTGTGAGGAAAGCATCAGGATCCATCAGGTTTTATACTTGAGTGAGTTGTAGATGCCAAATTTCGACCAATATTTATAAAGTACTCATTGAACTGATTGACAATGTCATGTTTGTTGGTGTAGGTTTGTCCATTGTAGAGTAACTTTGCTGGTACAGTGTGCCCTTTAGGCTTCCTGTTTATAATGGTGCCAATTAACTTCCATGTATTTTTTGGGTTGTTCTTGTTTAGTTCAAATTGTTGCTTATAGTAGGGTGACTTACAGGTCCATTTCAGCTTATTCAGAGTATTTGAGTATTTTTTATAGTAAGCTACCTTGTCTAGATCGTTAGAAAGAAAGTGCGTGCGATACATTTTCTGTTTGTTTCTTATAGAATTTAATAAGGTATCTGTTATCCAGGGTTTGTGAATCTTTTGTTTTGGACGGCTGCGGGGTATGCGTTTAATTGGCGCATGTTTATTGGCTATGCCTTTAAGTTTTTCGACAAAGCTGCTGGCTTTAGTGTGGATGTCGGCTGGGTCATTTAGTATGCTACTCCAGTCGGCTGACTTTATGTCATTCAGATAGGTCTCAGGGTCAAAATTTGAATAGTCCCTGAAGAATCTCTTTGGTTTTAGCCTTGCTGTCTGTCTTCTAATGAAACAGAAGGTGGGTAGGTGGTCTGATAACTTGCTATCAATCCCAGTCTCAATCCCGCTAACTTGCAATCATTCGTGTCTTTTTTTTTTTGAAAAGAAAAAGGAGATATATAAGAGACAACGTCAGGCATGATGGAAGCCTAGCTAAATCTATAGGTGCCAGCTATAGTTCGAAGACGGTTTAAAGGTTTAAGAGTTTAAAGATTCTTAGAACGATTATGTTTTTTCAGCAGAAGGGAAGAAAGTAGGGTATCCGGCCCGTTTCTCTCGGGGCAAGTAAACAAGCCACTCGCATAGTAGATCATAGTACTGGGTAATTATCAACTATAAAGTGATTTTATTGAAATATTTAATTCATCCGAAAATCAACAAGCTACTCAGAAATATTAGTCTGCTATGTTGCCTGATGCTTCATTAAATTTCCGAGATTTCCACAGAATCATAAAGAACTACTGTTAAAACACCTTGTCGAAAGGTAAAATGCTGTCATGCACTATACTTCAGTTCTATGCATGTTTGCGAGTTCTATAAATAGGAGTCGATATATAACAGCTATAGAATGCAGGGCCACTTATATACACACTTCATCAAACGAGCGGCTCGTTTTTGGCTGGTGAGCTGCTTTCTTCATCGTAAAGCAAACAAGCCCTTCCGGACTGTCCCCTGTTACCCTCGTTAAATAAAGTTGATTATTGTTATTATTATTATTACTATTTCTTGTTGTTGTTATCCACCGACGAGCTCTCTGCAGGCGCGATTACCCTGCGTCTGTGTTCGCAGTCTAAGCAGCACGATCCATCCCATAATTATGTATTCACCAACACTTAACGATCAAATAATTCCTCTTCGTCGTTCTTTTTAACAGTGAGAAGAGTCAAAGGAGACACTAAATCTAAATACCCTTGAAATTTTCCTTATATTCCAGTAGTTTCTCTCGAAAGGCATTAATTTTGCTTCAGCATTTACGTGCTTCTGTGAAAGAAGGGGTAAACTAAAGTCTGACTTATCAGTTTACATTACAGTCGAACCTCTCTAATACGGACACCAAAGGGACAGAACGAAAAGTCCGTATTGGAGAGGTGTCCGTATAAAAAGAGGTCACTATGATGACGTCACTTTTGTGACTCCAATTACAGTCAAACCAGGCTCACACTCGTCTTTAAACTGTATTTTAAGTTATTAATTCACAATACAAAGACACTGTCTTTCAGTAGCAAACAACATTGTAGCAAACAACATCAGCAACAGATAGACAAATTACTGTTTTAAAATGAAAGCGTCTTTCGCTATTTTGCAAAGGCAGTAAACAGTAACTACAGTACAAAATGTAATAGAAAAGGTATTTATGCTATCTATAGTTATTGAAGCCTTCAAAAAGTCGGTTATGTTCCTCTGCACAACTTTCGCAAATGGTTGTTTAGTATACAGCGACTGGGTTTTATATCACCTTGCATAGCTCACCACGGCAGACTAGACGGGATTCACCCTGTAAAGATCGATTGATCAAATCGGGATTCGGGATTCGCGATTCGCCTGATCACCGCAGCGTCCGTAATAAAGAGGTTAAGTTTATATGAATTTTTTTCTCTGGGGCCGAAATTTAGTGTCCGTTGTCCGTATTAGAGAGAATCTGTATTATAGAGGTTGAGAGGTGTCAGTATTAGAAAGGTGTCCGTACCGAGAGGTTCGACTGTATTAATATTTGGGCATGTGATAAGGTTTGATAAATAGAGGTTCTCCATTTTAATTTCTTTAATCTCAGCCCGCATTCAGCATATTTAAATTTGTTCTTCTTGTAGTACTAACTGTATTCGCCGTAGGTTTCCGATTACTTAGTTTCTTGCAAAATAAGATAGTCCGTCGGCACTATTCCACTATTTGTGCGACAAAATATATGTGTTAGCGTAGCAGGTTAAATTTGACCAGCGCATTTTGTGCAGTGAGTTGTATAGTCACGATTGACCCTAAACTTGCAGATATAAAACTTGAGAGCCCTAAGTGAGGCTTATTCAGTGCTCGGGAGTTGGGGAAAAGTCTGTGGTATGTGATTTCAAAGATATTTACATTTTTTTGTAAAAATTCGGTTTTAAATATATGCCGATATCTCGAACATTTCTATATAAAATAAATAACCGTTGACCATTTTTTATTAAGGGTGCCAAAAATCATATTAATCGGTTAAATCGTTAGTAAACAATGAAGTTAGAGTGTAAAACTGGGAAGAAGTCTACTCATTCATTTCACAAGTTGGAATTTGAACTTCAATCCAATTTGAGTAAATAACTGTTAAAAGTTTGCTCAGACAACGGCGCATAAATTAACACTGCGGAAAATAAGATGTATAATTGTTTTTAAAAACAGTTTAAATAGAGTTTTTACCCTTACCTCTTCTGTATCGAAGGCTTTACCCGCTGCCGGAGTAAAACCGAAAAGACTGCGGCGCGTTATAAATTGTCACGAAGAACTGAACTGAACTGAACTTCACTAAGACTGTTGACTGGCCGCTATTTGTGTTATAAAGTTACCAGTCTAAGAATATTCTTGGAATTTTGTTTTTATTCCTTGTGGGCCATTGTGTTTTCGTTGGTTGACTTACTAATGACAAAGGATAAAATGTATTGAATGGAAGGAACAAACAATTAAAACTGAAGAGGCCATTTTGTACGCTCAAGCTGATCGATGGAAAGCCGAAAGACTTAACAGCGGTCCTGATCATCATATCAGTAATTTTCAATCTCCGTGATGGTTTCTTTGAAAGCGTCAGTTATAATAAATGTTGATTTCAATCCCCACGACCTCGTTAAAAGTATAGGTAACACACACTTAGAATTTCTCTGCATGTCGACAACTTTTGAGTTTCCAGTGAATTCGTCCTGTGTCTTACAGTAAAAACACTTGTTTGCTGGTTTTGGGTCTCAAAAAATTGATGAAATTATACAAAAAATAAACTTGATCATGATCCGTACGGAGACGTGACTGAATCACTAGAAAGGAATAGACGCCTCTATCAATCAAGTCATTCTTTAGTCTTAAATTAAAAATTATCGACCAACCGTGGAAATAACATCCGCTCCTAAAACAAATCTATGTATTAGTTTGGAGTATTTATTCCTGTTTCCGTCTCCATCGCTTCCTTAGTAGCTAATGGTATGAAAAGTACTGTTGGGACTTTAGTTTCATAAAAAAAACATTTCACGTAAAGGGTATTGGTCGATATTGGGATATATATGGCCACGGATTAAGGATTAAGGCACTGTTGAAGGGGTAGCATTTTTGAATGGAAGGTATATTATATATGAAAGAGGTACCTTTTTGGTAAAAATGGTATACAACTGGGTAAGGGGTTGGACCTCGGGGGCTTTACACCATCAAACATGAACCGTTGACATTTTACGTGTTCCCTAAAATAAAAATCTTAATTACACTCTAGTTTGAAGGGAAGGAGGGTCCAGACCTCCCGCCTCTTGTGATTCCCGTCTCCGTTCCCTTTTTTTCTTGGCTTCCTTCTTTTAATTAGCCCTTTGTCGAGTGCGAAATATTCAGCATTTTGCATCAAAGACTGTTGACATTAAAACGTGTATTACTAATTTCTACTATGGATAACAAACACTCTACACTCCACTTTTACCATCACCATCTCCCCAACCTCTCCCACACATCAATCATCCAGCAACGACTTCAACTTTTTAATTCATTCAACGGCGACGCTTTTTATCCACTTTCTGTTTGGCCATTAGAGTTTAAGTTAATTTTCTGGAAAAAACAAATCAGCGACAAGGGACACATTCAAACTGTTTTTATTCTTAATTGGCAATGGCTGTTCACCACACCTGATTTCACATTGGATCCTCACATCACAACACTGGACTAGAGACAAAAACTGGGCCGAAAAACGTGCTCGTCAACTAGATTTCCCACTCAGCAACATGGACAGCAAGTCGCATATCTGGTTCTACTTCGATTTACACTGTGAAGAATGGCTATACCTTAACGGACAAAAAAGATCGACTAACAATTAACAACTAACCATTTTAATTCTCTTTCGATAAAATTTTTTAAAATTACAAGTTATATTGCTTATATTAACGTCAACGAACACAAAAGAACGACTAACAACTAACCATTTAAATTCTCTTTCAATTACATTTTTGAAATATTTCAAGTTATATTTCTTATAATAGTTTCATTGTGAAGATTCTTATCTTGTACATTTCTTTCACCCTCCCTTTTATTTGTAACTTGTATTTCTGTTACACCTTATATTTTATTCCCTAAAAAAATTTTTATAGGTGATCTTCAGAGCCATACTTTCACTAAGTTAAAAATCTTTTATGGGAATTTAACATTTTCCTTTACTTAATTCTAATCTTATATTTTATCCTATAGCTCGGATTTTATTCTAAGGCATTATCCAATCTTTTAAAATTATTTCACAATTTTCACAACTCTGCAGATCTCACTATAGTTACTAAGGAAACTACTGAGTCATTTTTTACCAGTTTTATAAAAAGAAAAATCTTCAGAGTCAGTAATTCTTTGAGTTTTTTAAGAACCAATATATTTCAGTCTCATTTTAACTATATCAGTGATTCGATAAGTTTTTAAGAACGACTATATATCAATAATTATGTGAAGTTCAAATAGTATTTTTACTGTATCTGTTAATAAGACATCTGACTTATTATAATTTATTCACGCTTTTAAGACTTACCATCACATTCGCACGGGCAGTTTGCTGTTGGGGATAATGAGAAGAATAAGACGATTGTCATATTTGTCTTCATCTTTATTCCCAAGTGGTAAACGTCCCGTGCGAATGTGATGGCAAGTCTAGAAAGCTTGAATAAATTACCAAATACAAGGGTTTTCTTGATTGCAGCTGAAAAATGTATGGTTAGAAGTACTGGAGTTGGTGGCTTCATTTCTCCTCAAAACGGGAACCTGCGACGCTAAAAACTCTTGACAGTTTTTCGTAAACGCTATATTTTGCTTTGTTAAGATTTGTTTCCAAAAGAGAGGGACAAATACAAAATAAGTTTAATGAATAGAAGTTCTTTAATATTACCGCGCACTCAGCATAAAGTTGTTCTTCTTGTAGTGCTAACTATGTTCGCCGTAGGTTTCTGATTACTCTGTTTCTTGCAATAAAGCTTTAGGTAGGAATATCCTTTCAGATAGGAGATAGTGTGTCGGCACTCTACCTCTATTCGTGCGTCAACTTTCACAAATGTGTTAGCGTAGCATTTTAAGGTTAAATTTGTCCAGCAATTTGTGCAGCGAGTTCTAAGGTCACGATTGCCTTCAAACTTGCAGAAGTAAAACTAGAGACCTGTGACGCTTATTTGCTGAAGTTAGGGAAAAATCTGTCGTGGGATTTCGAAGTTCTTTGGATTTTTAGTAAAAATGTGGCTTTATATATGCCGATATCTCAAAGGTTTTTACATCTACAAGAAAACAAATAACATTTTCTTAAAGTTCCATCATTATTTATTTGGTATGCCAAAAATCGTAGAAATCGGTTGAATCTTTCATTCTGAAAAACGCAAATCAAAAACATAACCAACACGCATATAAATATGGTTCGGGCCACCTTAATAGAGACTTTAACGGTAAGTCTAAAATTAACTAAAACTTATCGTCCAAACGTGGACATAACATCCGCTGCTAAAATAAATCTATACTGTTAATTAGTTTTGAGCTGCATTTTTCCTGTTTCGGTCTCCATCGCTTCAGTAGTAGCGGTAAAATAAAACTGTTAGGATTTTAGTTTTATTAGAGAAAATGTCATGTAAAGAAAAGTGAGGTATCGCGACAAGACGCTCAATTATTTAAGCCTCATCCTTGAAATATTCGACCAACCGTTGAAATCATAACGACACTTTTTTACTGAAAAACTTGAAATCACATTTCAGCTTGGCAGTACTTTTTTATTCTGCTCTCAGATGTTTAAAAAGCAAAGCTAGAAAAAACTTTTTGTCCCACGTTTAGTTTCAGAAAGATGCCGAAGCGTGAGATCAATTTAATTGAAAAACGTACGGTCTCCTACAACAACGAACGCTTCATACTTATATCTTGACTAATATTTCAGGGTTTATTCGTTTATTTGTTGTTTATTTCAGGGCAATGTTCAAGAAAATTCTGATTTTTTTTCCCCGAGTTCTGATTTGGAAATCGTAATGTGCTATTCAGTGATTTTACGTAATATTATATGTACCTATTTGTGCGTTTCAGTCAGTTTAAGAATTATCATACAAATATGAAGACTTGACATAACATTGACAAAGTTTATAAAGCAACACGACTGTATTCCTGTTAATTCTCGGTTTGCGGCCTATACTCAGAACTTTCTGAGTTTAAATGGCATGAGTTGGTATAAAACTAACTATTATACTGAAGATCCTTTTCGTACTCATCCTTTGCTCCTTCAGCTCCTCGTGAGCGAGGCACGTTTTTCAGGATCATGGTCTTTTTCAGTCTTAGAATTTCAACATTCTGTTTCAAAAAACTAAGTCTTTCTCCAAACTGAAAGGCGAGCGATGTAAGGAACGAATTTCAATTGATATCTTAGGGAGAATCATTTCGATACCCGGTCATCGCTCCTTAACTACCGTCACGTTAAGACCACCCTCTGACTGAACTCTTTCACTGAGACCTTTCCAGTCAGTTGTGCCGTGAACACACTTTAAGATAGAGCGGTTTTCACTTGACTGTCCTAAAACCAAAACCAAAGTAAATACACTAACCAACCAAAGGGCTTAGTAAAACCAAAACCAATCCCTTTCGACAGTCAAGTGAAAACCGCTCTAACTATATACAACTCAGTGCTTTCAATGAATATATCTAAATCAATAAGCTCCTACGCAGAGATATTTTTTCTGTTATTTTGGGCCCAAGGTGATTCTCAACTGAATTTCAATACTGTTTTAGTTAAATTGAAAGAACTACTGTTAAACTCTTTATTCCAAGTAAAAATCTGTCATCTTTCTTAACTTCTATGCTTGCCAACTCGAAATTCGGCTTGAATTCACTGATAGAATGCAGGGCCACTTGCACTCTTCACCAGACATCGAGCGGTTCGTTTGGCTCATTTGTTTTTTCGCAGTATACAAACAACAAACAAGACCTCAGTTCCACTGCTGAGTAGACGAGCCACAACAAAAGCCCGCTGACGGCCACCAAAAATAACTCCTTCATCGTTCTTAATTCTAGTGTATCTACAACCGTGCTAATGACTTCATAGATGGCCTTATTTACTGTGTAGTTGCTCTCAAAAGGCATAAATTTTGCTTTGCTTCAGATAGAACTTTGCGCTTCAGTAAAAGGTGGGTGGCTTGAAGACCCATCTTAAAGACGGTAATTAATGTTGTCAGACTTCGGGCACGTACAGAAGAGAATTTATAGGAAAAAAGAAACTTGCGATTGCCGATAGTTAACGAGATAGTTTGATCAAGTGATTTTATGTAACACGTAGTATCTCGTAACAATTAGTGCTCAATAGTTTACGACTAAGCAAAAGAAAGTAATGAAATTAGAGAGTAATACTGTGGAGAAGTGTCTGCTATCTATTTCACAAGTTAGTAACTGATATCAGACTATTAATGATAAAGCTATAGAGATACAACTTCCCCCAACATTATCCATTACTCAAGTTGGAAAGTAAACTTCAATCCAATATGAACAAATTCAGTCAGAAGTAACTCTTTAAAGTTTGCTAAGACAAGTCAGATCAGAAACTACGAGATATACATGTTTATGAAAAAAAAGAAGACTTTTAGATAGAGTTCTCGTCCTTACCTGCTCTGTATTGAAGAATTTACCCGGCTGCCGGACTAAATGGGAATAGACTGCGCGTTTAAATGGTGACGAAGAACGTTAACTGTGCTGAACTTCACTGACTGTTATACTGTCCACTATTTTCTTTTATGGAGTCATCCAGACAAAAATATTCTTGGAATTTTGTTTTTATTCCGCGTTGGCCATTGTGTTTTTGCTGACTCACTAATGACAAAGATAACATTTATTGAATGGAAGAAAGACTAACAATTAACTTAAAAGACTATTATGTAAGCCCAGTGAGTCCATAAAAAGCGGAAGACTTAACAGGCACAGATCATCATATCCTAACTGAGTTTCATCCCCCTTGATGGCTTCTTTGATATCTAGCGCCAGTTATATTAATGAATGTTGATTTCAGTCCCCAAGTGAGACAGCAGTTAACAATCCTCGTTACACTTTAATGATTGTACCTCAAGTGAATTACTAATCATAATTTCTCTGTTCCTTTTGAGTTTCCAGTGAATTCCGCGTTCGTGTGTCCTACAGTGAAACACGTGTTTGCTTGTTTTGGGTAAAAAAACTTGATATAAATGTACGAAAAATAAAAACTTGATCATATCGACGGGTACTTTATTAAATCATTGTAAAGGAATTGAATAGTCACAGCCGACCTCGATCAATCAAGTCATTCTTTAGTCTTATAATTATCAAAAAATTATCGACCAACCGTGGAAATAACATCCGCTCCTAAAACAAACCCATTTATTAGTTTTCAGCTGTTCCTGTTTCGGTCTCCATCGTAGTGGTAAAAAGATGCTGTTAGGAATTTAGTTTTATGATGTGAAAATTTCACGGAAAGGGTATTGAGATACAGTAGAAATCCGCGGCTTAGGAACCTTGTTTTTAAGAACCTTTTAGGCTAAATTTACCAGTTAGGCCCCTTCTATACAAGAACCAGCTAGAACCTGTTAAGCCTAAAATTTGTAGCCTGCGTGCAGACGATAACTAAACTCTTATTAGTACCGGAGTTAACCAGAGTTTAATTTAGCCTGCGCGCAGGCTAAAAATTTGAAACAGGTTCTTATTTTCTAAAATCCATAAGAAGAAACGCAGTAAGATTGAACAAATGAGATAAGCCAGCAATCAAGATCCTCTTTGAAGAATTACCCGTCCAACAGCAATGTACAGCTGAATGTAATGAGATGCAGATTTTATTAGGGAATCAGAGCTGAATACCTATGCAGATTTTATTAGAGAATAAGCTGATTACCACTAAATACTCTTAGCTATAATCTATTTTTTCTTTAGAAAATAAGAACCTAAATAGCCCAAATTTGTGCTAATTAACATTTCTGTAAGAACTTGTTTAGGCTAACTTGGAAAAATACAGGTCCTTAGTTGCGGGTTTTTACTGTATACCACCCGTACAGAACAACTACAGTCACTTCACTAGATAATCGACTTGAAATCAAATTTAAACTTAATTGTGCCATACTATTTTCTTCTTCATTCAGGTCTTCATCAAGCAAAGCTAGAAAATCGTCCCACATTTAGATTTAGAATTAGTAGCAAGCGTGAGACCAGTCTATGAAGTCAAATTTAATTTAGGAGAACCGCCGGCTTTCACAACGACGCTTTACACCCGGGGAAGGGGGATTAGGGGCTTCCTACAATAGCTTATTCTTGGAGGTTCTGCCTGAAAAGGGGTACCCGGATTTTTGAGGCTTTAATTAGGGTTTATCAAAGACAGTGAAATCACTGTTGAAGTACATTAAGGTCTAAAAGGGTACAAACATTTTCATTTATTAAATTAACGTTACTCTAAAATGACAAAGACTTCCTGTCTTAGCGATTCATTCTTATTAGGTAGACATTTAAAGGCCGGGCAGTATTTTCAATGGAACTGTATACGAAAGAGGTACCTTTTCAGTGAAAATAGTATATAAAACTATGTAAGCCTTATCGTGAGTAGCCCCTTCTCCCTGCATTTACACCATCAAACATTCTGTTGACATGTGACGTGTTCCCTAAACCTCGGTTTTGCTGCTTATTTTTAAAATTACACTCTATTTTGTGGGGAAACAAGGGGTCCAGACCTTCCGCCTCTTTTATCTTTCATTCTTCTCTCCGGTCCCTATTTTCTTGGCTTCTTCCTTTTAGCATTTTTGCATCAAAGACTGTTGGCATTAAAACGTGTATTTTTCCTGGAACACAAATTTGCCGCCTTTGTGTTTAATCTCCAGGCCCCAGTCGTTCAAAAGGTGGATAACGCTATCCACTGGACAAATTTCTATCAAACGGATAGTGCAGTTGGTGTCCCTAATACTTTATGTCCTTTGGATAACGATTTCTCCGGTGGATAAACAACTGGAGCCAGTTTCTCAGCGTTAAACTGGATTGTTTTCACCAGAAAGCGCGGGAATTTTGGGGGCTAGTGCATTTACGAAATATTTTAGCCGTGAAGCTAGAAAACAATGATATTATATTTTCTGGCTTTATAGCATGTTGATATAAATAGACACGGACGACACCCTTTTATGGGTCAAAAGAGTTCTATGATTTAGGTCACAATTAAAATAACGCGGTTTCGGAATATTGCTTGCTTACCATTCCTCAAAGATTCTGGGACAGTTAATAACAGGTTAATTTAAATCCCCGGAGGCGTTAAAACATGAAAGACTTTTGATGCTTTCCGACAGCGTTTTATACTGCGCGTTGAAAAGTTGATCACGCAAATAAAAATCTGGATTGCTTTAACAGAAACAGGCAAACGATGCACCCCCAGCAACAGGGCACCCCGGCTATTTTAAGGATTATTAGCATGGCTGAATCCGCGAGCCGGCAATATGACGCGAAACCTGTGTACTGATTGGCTACTCGACTGAGCCTGAAAGATGTGCCCATCTTGCCTTTCGACATTTTCCGCCTTGGTCCAGCAAGAAAATGATATCTTTTTGGCCATGAAATAAATCCCTTATTGTCCCAGCTTGTTCGGGCAAGATGGCTGGATATTGGCCTCCTCGTTCTTTTTTGCGTTATTATCGTCTTTTTTGATCCGTGAATGCGCAAACAAGAACTTGATCAATATCCAGCCTTCTTGATCTCACGCTTGGTCAATAACACATATCAAGAGCCTGTACATGTGTATTAAAGGATTTCAAAGAAGCCTGAGCCCCCTGCGGCGTAAAAACACAAAACTGGCTGTAAGAGTTAGTTAATATATCCAAGATTAAACGCACATTGTATTAAAATACTTCATTTTTGACTGGGTTCTTTCTCATTTTTACACTACTTCATATTTGATCGAATTGCATGTATTTTGATGATGTTCTGTTCATTAGGACACTTTGTGATGGCTATGATAATGATAGTGCATCTCATTAGGGTTCGATCCTGGATATACTGCAACCAGCCGCTTATAAAGCTCCCCACCCCCCACCAGCTATAGGCCTATCTACCTGTAAAAAAAAATACATCCGATTATAATCCCCCCCCCCCCCCCCCAAATGTATTGAAATGAATTCGATTTATTATGACCTTTTGACGCTTAGTTAAAACCAGTAAATGCAAACTTATTTTGACTAGCACTTCTGTAGATTGCTTCGAAGCGTTTTCTATTCCTGTGATAAGCTCCCTCGGATGTAAGCCCCTCGGTTTATAAACCCTTCTAAAACCCCTTACCAAGATGTAGAAGCGGCAGTTTACGATAAGTAGACGCCAAAAGGGAAAATTGATGCAAGTATGAAAGACAATAAATATGTCGTTAAAGGATAAGTCATGAATAAATGCCTGTTCTCCTCTCTTTAGAGAGGAGTTTGAATTAAAGTTTCAGAAAAGTTGGAAAAAGTTTGAACGGATGTGAGTTCGTTTCTTATTTGTCTCAAGATATAACTTCCTTTTTCACGTTTTAGTGTCATTTTCGACTGTTTCTACAGAGAAACGTACACAATATTGTACATTGAAAATTGAAGTGCTGTTTACGTTCACGATCTCACCGATGTTTGAGCAGTTTACACGCAATTAAGTCAGTCGCTTGAAATGTCCTGATCTTTCTCGGTCTCGACAATGTTTCTCTCCGATTGCCTCGCGTCTCTTTTTTGATGGTGTCGATGATGATGATGACGATGGTGATGACGTGACTTCCGGTTCCGCTCACTCTCTTGAGAGCTGCTTCTGCGTCTATCAAAACTAATACTGCGACTGCGCTGTCGACGACCAGTTTTACGTTCTGAGATACCCTGATGTTTAAACCTTCCTTCACTCTGAAGGAAAGCTTGTTTGTCCTCTTGTTCACTGCCTGCGCTTTCTTCGTTTGGAGAAATCTGTTCATCATTATTTTTATCGCGAGATTGTAGACATTTTCGGTTATTTTCACGTTCTTTGCTTAATGCAATGGGTGCATAATTTTGTGGCTCCAAAGTTCCATCACCTTCCCTTTCACCACGAGATAAGCTTCCCCACGTCTGTTCGTCACCATTCGAGTATGATCTTGGTTTCCATATGGTTCTGGTGTGTTCTTTACGGGCAAGATGGCTCTGTTTTTCCAATCTGTATAAAATGTCTCGACTTTCTTGTTCAAATTCCTCACTGTCGCTGTTACTGCTAGTTGTTTTCGCTAATGGGAACGAGAAAAATGTCTGCTGTGTTTCGAAACTCATGTCTTTCACAGTCGGGAGTTATCGTCGACGCGAAGGTGAGCGATCGGCAGCGACGGTGTTGCGCGCCTTGTTGAAATATCATCGTTTGTAAAAGTAGTTTTACTTTCCATGTGCTTCTTGGTTTTTGGCTTCTGTCTTGTTGAGTGCATTTCAAGGTGAGACCTCTCTCTTTCTGATAATAATTCTGTGCCATTTGGTACCTACCACCAGGTACAGCTCTTAATTTACCTTTCAAGTGTTTTTGCCCAAAGCGGTTTTCGGCTTCACTCAAGCTTTGCAGAGATTTTCAGCCGAACGGAAGTGGTATTTATTGTTGTGTTTTCACACTTTTATGGTTCAAAAGGCATTTTTTTAGGAATTCTTCAGTCCGTTGACCTTTTAAATATGATGCAATTCATGCACATTAATTTTGAGCAGATTCAAACAGGCCACCTATTCTTCGTTGTGGTTGTTCAAAACATTTTCAAAAGGCATAATTTCACAGATCAGCTAGTCTCTTGATAGACATTCGGAGGCAGATTTAAACGCGATACCTTTTCTTAAAAAAAACTTCACTGTTTGTTGTTGTTTCAGACCGTTATCAGTTAAAATGAATATTCGGGAACTTTTATCCATCATTAAATCTTAACTATCGTTTACTTTATGATATTTCTTTTAATGTCTGTTATCCTGAGGGCTTGTACATATTATTAATAATTCAGTTAATAAAAGGAATTCAGCCTGTCCAATTTTCATTCTACCCTCCAGTAGTAGCCACATGTAGTCATCGACTACCTATTTTTGAAACAGATTTTTATTTTCTCAAATCTATAAAAAGAAATACAAAAAGCCGGATTGAGCAAATATGATTAGTCAGCATTCAGGATCCTCTTTGAAGAATTCTCCGTCCAGCTGCCATGTACAGTTGATTGTATAAATAGTATGCCGGATTTTGTTCGCGAATAAGCTAAATACTACTAAATACTCTCTTTTAAAGGAAATATATAAGAACCTATTTAAGAACCTAAATAGCCTAAATTTGCGCTAATTACCATTTATGTAAGAACCTGTTTAAGCTAACTCTGAAAAATGCAGGTTTATACTCCGTTTACACGTTAAAAGAGCAGGAACGGCTCGGTTAGAAACAAGTACCGGTTCCAGACGAAATCTCCTGTTTACACGTACAAATTTTGTAATGTGCCCGACAGAAAAAGTCACGGTACTTGAGAGCCCCTTGGAACGGGTACTAGACTGTTTACTCGTTGTTTTCTTCGAGACCGGTAACGATAGAGCCCGCTATAATTAAATAAAACTGCTTCGATTAGTTGTTCATATGCGCTTATACATACAGTAGACTGTGCGTATCTCCGACAATCATGGATGCAGGTATACAAGCACTTTTCTAGTTTCTTCTAAAGAAGAGAACACGAAATTCACGTTTGACAGCGCCTGCGATTCGTCGAAGAAGTTCTTGTGAAAATGTACCGAATTCTTCGTTTTCACTGTCACGCAATAAACACGGCACAAAAAAATGCATTTGAAACCGTCCAGTGAAAGAAGCCAAGAAAATGAAATGTTATAAAAGACTAATATATAAACAATTTGTCCAAATCTCAGGTCTTTGTGGCCCACAGTTCCTGAGTTAGTTGCCGAAACATTTCACGCACCTTTGTAGAGCTTTGTATGGAGACGCCATATTGGTGGACAGTTTCCACCAATATGGCCGCCGGAAATCAACAAAAACATCTGGAGTTCACTTTTTCTATAAAAGCTCCTCCTTTTCACTCGAGAACTAGCATACTTGCGCATTAACATATCTTCTAATACTTGAAATGGTTAAACTGCTGAAAATCAAGCGGAGAGACTTTTTTGAAGGAGATAACATTCCTATTTTGGTGTCACGCACTGTGAAAACTCGGAAGTTCAAACTGCTGTATTTTCGAAATGAAACATGCTTGGGGGCTGGAAACTTGTACAAAGATTTATTTCTTATTAATCTTCAACCTAGTCCGAATAAGAATTCGTAAAACCACGCTTTTTTGACTCTGCAATCTGATGACGTCACCGTGAAAACCATCACGGTTCTCCTATTAACAGCCCATGTATCGCACTTCTCAGTCGAAAGGAGCTTCTGGCAAATTCCAAGAACAAGCACTTGGTTTGATCTTACATACAGCACTTACTCTGACGATCAGTGGTATGCTAGCTTCCGAGTGTCGAAGAATAATTTCCAGTTTCTTCTTCTAACACGCATGTGACGTACGCTAAACAACTGACGTGGAGCGCCACGGGCTCATAAAAAACGTAACAGAACGGTACCGGAAAAAGGGCGAGCGTTTACACGTTGAAAAGAAAACAAAAATGTGGGTACGGAACCGTTTTTTATCGTTTCCGTCCCGAAAGGGGTCCATAGCCGCCTATGGACCTTTTTAGGAACGGAACGGATACAACTGGAACGGGTCAAGTACCGTTTACACGTCGAATTTTGTCGGAGCCGTTCGTCTTTTTATCCGGGTCGTTCCAATTTTTTCGGTCGTGTAAACGGGCCTTTAGTCGCGGGTTTTCTGTACTGTATTGCAACAAAACGTTCCTAAAATATACCAACAGAACGATCACCCGTGCAAACAACTGCCACCAATTCACTAGGCAATCGACTTGAAATCAAATTTAAACTTGTGCAGCTCTGTTTTATTGTGCATTCAGGTCTTCATCAAGCCCTAGAAAATTTTCTTACGTTTAGTTTTAGAAATAGAAGCAAGCAAGCTTTTCAATGAAGCTCAGTACACCCGGGAGGAGGGGGGGCTTAGTAGCCTCCCTATAAGTCCTATTAATAATAGTTTATACCCGGAGGCTCTGCCCGAGAGGGGAACCTTTTTCAGGCTTTTATTGAGGTTTATCAAACACCGGGAATTGACTGTTAAAGTAAATAAAAGGGTAGAAATTAAAAGGGCCTTAAATTGAAATGTTTCGAAACTGATTTGCTTTATTATGACTATATCATTTTCATTTATTAAACGTTACAATAAAATGACATAAAAACTTGAATTTGCTGATTTTGTATCTTTGTAACTGTCTCTGTCTCCAGCAGCAAAGCACGAAAAAAATGAAGGTTTGCACCGACAGGGTGCTTAGCACTAGACGCAACATTTTCACGAGCTGTAGTTGCTAAAACCTCTACAGAGTGATAAATACTTGGGTCACATTTCCCTATTCCTAGTCGTTAAAATAAAAGGCAAGTTTCCTTCTTGACGTCCCTTCTATCCTAAATTTTCACAGCAACGAAGCATCAAATGCTTGACTGAAGAAAGGAGAAAAAATTACCAAAAGAAACAGTTCGGCGTATTTACAGTTTTATTCATTTCTTTGTTCTATGCCCGAAATCCATTCCATTCCTCTACTTTTCACGGGATCACAGTGGCAATTATTTGCGGTGGCACGATCATTTCCGGTCAATTTTGGGGATCATTTGCAGTCTGAGGATCACTTGTGGTTGAGGATCATTTACGATACTGTACAGAGTCATGTCACTAATGACGTTATCTCTTGTAACTATACCAATTACTGCATTCAATGTTTGCGGTAATGTATATTCGGAATAAACAAACAGCTGCGGGAACGATACTTGATAGATGACACATTTATTCCTGCTTTTTAATCAAAGAACTCAAAGGGCGGGAATGGTTGAGTTTAAACAAAAACAGCCTTACGGTATCCCGTTTGAGCAATCACTTCAGTCACTTGCTTAAAGCATGGAATTCTGCAACTCCCGCTTGGGGATCAGGGTCCTTACTATTACTAGTCAAGACTAAACAGATTATTTCTCAAGACGTCGTTAGTTATTGTTTTTTTTCGCCCATTGCTTAACCATAACATTATCCTTTGACATACTATGCCGGGGGAATAAAATACATATCGTTAAATCTTGTACGCTGCGCCGTGTAAGAAAAATGACAGATGAAATGATTGTACCTCGGAACACAGTCGACAAAACGAATTTTCATTATGATATTAATATTCAAAATCTTCGCTTCAGCAAGTAAACTTTTTCCGGGAGGGTACAGTAGCGGATCACCAGCCGGTCCGTGACGTGAGTCACTTATGAACGGGACAAATTGAGTCATTAATTGAATACAACACAACAGAAATGAGTCTAAGTCAGTTGGTTTGTGAGTCTGGTAAGGCTACAGTGGCGTCTAATGCAGTCAGTGGACAACTGCTTATTCTGTGGTATCCAGTCTAGCTGCAATATGTCGGGTCAGCAATAGGACCAATAGTCTCGACCCCCGGTCCCGACAAGGACAAGAAAAAAATACGCATACTCATCACACGTCGTTGTGCTAAAAGAGGTAGATATCTATATTTGAACCCGTTTTGGTACACAGCTACGCCAAATCATCGCCCTGGTTTCAGCAACCTGAGACAGGTTATTAACTAAAAAACCTAATGCATGCCACAAAGCAAAGTTCTTTTAGCTGAGCCAACGCAGAAAATAGTTTTGCTGACAATTCCCGGAATAACAGAAGTAGTGTATTTTGAAAAAGAAGAAAGATATAAATTTTGATGAAAGATAGAAACAACACTCAATAATTGAAAAAAATCAATTATATGCACTTACTTTCGGCAGCTTTGCTTGAAAGACAACAAACGCACAGCGAGACAGTAAATGAAAGAGGAGTAGCAGGGGAAGTCGAACTGAAAGTAATGTGTATCCTTGTACGTGCAGGAATTTTACAGACATGACATGATGTACTTGACCTCCGTGTGACGTTATTTTCATTAGTTTTAAGAAAAGTTATGAGTGGGGTGGGAAGGGAAAGGGAAAGAGGGTTTTGGAAGTACAATCTTCAATCTTCAATCTTTCTTTATTTAAATGATGACCAATTGGAAAAACAAAATCTTACACAGCGATCAGTTTAGACTGGGACGGGCTCCGCAACTGGGGGAAAACTCAAACGAGAGGGAAAAAAAAATCGGCGAGCCAAGCCAAGCGGTATAGTCCAGGGAGGGAAAAGGGTCCAAGCAGTCCACGCGATTTTTATGCCGCTTCACTCCGTTTTACGCCATTTTTTCCCCACAGCGGAGCCTGGTTTTAGGGTGCGATCCTCTTGGAAACAATTCTTCTGCAGCCAGAAAATCCTTTGGAATGTCGATGCAAGTAGCAATTAACAAATTAGACTCCCTTAAAGCTTAAGCCGAGTTCACTCAGGGCTGCCCGCCGTAAGCTAGCCGGGGGGTGGGGGGTACTCGACCACTATTAGGCATAAGTGAGTCGCCGCTGAGGGTTTGAAACCCTGAAAAAAAAATCCTAAAATATATATCCTGTGTTTAGGACAACACCCTCAATTTTGTTACCCTGTTTAATTAGGACAAAGGAAAAAATGTAGGCCGTCTTGTTTTCAAGCCATTTATCCGCAACTGCAAAGCAAATTCACGTTATAGTCATTGCCTTTGTATACTTGGAGCACAAACAAACTTCATCCCGTTTATGACTAGGACAGACTCCGGCGCACAAAATTATTTACCCTGTTTGTGACTCGCGTGAAATTATATACTCCTCTTAGGTCAGACTCCTGCGAAATTATATACCCTGTCAGGAGGACAGACTCGCATAAAATTACAGACCCTGTTTAGGACAGACTGGCGTGAAATTATGGGATTTGCCAGGATACTCTGAAAGAACAACATCCAATAGGGTCCCCATCCAATAGGCCTACTTGCCAAAAATTAGCATTTGGTGGCAATTTATCTCTGAGATATTAGTCCAGTTGTGCTCTGAAAACTGCATACAAACCCCTTTAAATTTGTTTTGGGTCGACCAAACTCGAAATCCTAATTTTTGGCAAGTCAGAGCCCTCTTGGACGTTGTTCTTTCAGAATCTAGTGACAAATCGCATAATTTAAGAAATTTAATTTTTCTGACG